CTAAGTGTTACGTCAAAGGTAATGGAAAAGCTTGTATGTAATCAAGTGACACGTTACCTGACCAGATGTGAACTTCTCACTACTCACCAAAGCGGGTTCAGGAAGCACCATAGCACGGGGACTGCTGTACAGAAGATCGTAGAGGACATTAGATCTGGTTACAACTGCAGTAAAGTCACAGTCGCACTATTTCTGGACCTACGGAAGGCTTTTGATTCGGTTAACCATGACATCCTGTTAGGCAAACTTGATAAGCTCGGCTTTGACAGTGACGCCATGAAATGGTTTTCCTCTTACCTGTCTGAGCGCTTCCACTGCACTTGTCTTCAGGGTCAACACTCTACAAAAACTCGGGTTTCTTGTGGGGTTCCTCAGGGAAGTGTTCTTGGGCCCCTGCTGTTCTGTCTGTACGTTAATGACTTACCCAACGTCATTGAAAAATGCAGCATCCACATGTATGCTGATGACACAGTCCTGTACTACTCGGCTGGTTCCGTGAAGGCCTGTGAAGAGACTGTCTCTATGGACATGAAGAGAGTTGTAAAATGGCTAAACGAAAATAAGTTGCTGTTACATCCTGACAAGACCAAATCGATGCTCTTCGGGCTCCCTCAGAAATTGAGGCATGCTGGGACATCCGTCAACATAACAGACGGTGTGAACGTATATAAGCAAGTTGACTCGTTCACCTACCTGGGCATTACTCTCGACCCATCACTCAGGTGGGCAGCTCATGTGCACAGAATCACGAAGAAGCTTCTTAGCGGACTCGGAGCCATGGGGCGTGCTAGAGCCTTTGTTACAAAGGAAGTTCTGCGTACCATGTACCAGACACTATTACTGTCTCATCTGGAGTATTGCGCCACAGCATGGCTACCAAGTCTTGTACAGAGCAACAAGACTCTTATGTCACAGCTGGACAGACTGGTCAACCGAGCTGCAAGGCTTATTACAGGTCACAAACTCCAGGACCATGTCTCAGCGGTTAACCTGCGAGCTGAGGCTGGGATAGATTCTGTGCGCAAACGAACAGAAATTACAACTCTCGTTAATGTCTTTAAGGCGATTCGTGGAGGTGCGCCGGTGTACATGTCATCTCTGTTCAAGTGGGAGACTGCTCCAACATTAAGTGTACGGACCACTCGATCAGAGTTAAAGCGTCTTAGGGACTATGACCCTCACCTACTCTGCTGTCCACCAGCAAGAGTCACGGCGTACAGGAGCAGTCTACAGTACTATGGTCCTTACCTGTGGAACACTCTTCCGATACAGCAACGACAGCTCCTCAGTCTCAGGACTTTTAAACAGAACATTAGAAGCAGGACTTCTCAGGATTTTTAAACAGTTCATTAGGAGCAGGACTTCTTAGGACTTTTATTCAGAACATTAGGTGCAGGATTTTGACACTATTGATGTTTAGGATGTTGTAATTTAGTAATAGTTTATGTACTGTGTATTTGTTGTGTGTACTTTTATGTGTATCCAGGATTACCTGAAAAACAGGCCGGGATGGCCTGAGTTGTAATTACTGGTTAAATAAAATAAACTGAAACTGAAACTGAGAAGAAGAAGAAGAAACATCAGAAAAAGCAATATGGGTTCACCACCACTTCGTGGTGTGGTGAACCCATAACTAAGATTTCTACTGTATTATATACATACCTGTGACATGGCTAAGAATAACATGCCGAAAACCTTACCTTCTGCACTCTGGTCATTCTGGTCAAGTGTCTACATACCATTTTCAAACCATTTTGTGTACTTGAGTTAAAGTTTTCAAGGAAGAAATACCTTATCCAAAGACGAAATGACGCCTTATTGAAGCATCAATCTCCTCTCTGTTACGAAACGTGATCTAAAAGTGCTATGATAATTTTAGCTGTAAAATTAGCTGTAAAACAAGCTAACAGAGTCACCTTTTCAGTGGTTGTTTTAGTAAGGTCACACCAATTTAATTTGTTGGTTCTCGGATTTTTTCATAAAATATATTAAGCGACAGGGCTAAAAAAATAAAATAAAAGCAGGCCTAGCCATCCTATTTCAGCCCCAAATGCATCGATAGGAGCCAAGGAGTCAACATAAAAGGCTAGATTATGATTTAAACAATAGATTTTGAATTTTCAATTAAACCACTGCATTGACAGAAATAAAAACTGTAAAAATTAGGAAGAAAAGGACTTTCTTCAACCGTTGGGGGCAAAATCAGAGCATTTTTAGTTGATTCAGAACCAGAATCTTTTTTTTTTTGCAAATCAGAAAAAAATGAAGACGCGAATCCGAGAACCAACAAATTAAATTGGTGTGGCATAAGATACACTTTCTTTCAGGTGATGGTATGTCCTACCATTCGTCAATGTTCTTCTCAACCAAGGATGAAAGAAATGACATTCACCCAAGTGTCAACTGTGCGCAGCGATACAAAGGAGCCTGGTGGTACAACAGCTGTCATATTGCCAACCTGAACGGCCTGTACCTTGGTGGAGCTCACCATTCCATCGCGGATGGGGTGAACTGGAAAGAATGGAAGGGGCAGCACTATTCTCTCAAACACACTGAGATGAAGATAAGGCCTAACTAAGATCATTCCTGTCTGAGGACCAAATCTTATGACCTAACTTTAATACTAAAAAGTCTAAAGCTAAAAATGCTAATTCCTATCGCAACAATTACATTCACTTGTAATAAGAAATATTGAATAATGCGACTTATACATAGTGCTTATTTGATTAATATGTGACCAAGTTTTAAAAAGGAAACACAAAACAATTTGCCAAAACTTGTTTTCACTCTCTTGAAGATGAGTCTTGAACATTTTACCCAAATCTGCATGTGAGTTGGTAAGTTGAGAAATAAACTGTTCTCCAACTAAAAAGACTCACTGGACAAATCTGCATGTAATCTGTTGAATATTTACCAACAATAATAGAATCTAGTCTCCATAACAGACCAAGTCTTGTGATCAAGTATAACAGCTCTATTGCTCACTACGGCATATGTTGTAGAAACAACACCACGTCTCCTACTCGTACATGTTGTGTATGTACTGAGATGTACTGAGGACGAAGGAGGAGAAATATTTTTCAGCTCAATGGATTGTGCAATTTTTGCAACATTTTATCTACAGGTCCAGAATTATTTCTACACGTGACAAATTTAATCGTTTGTACTCCAAATATGTAAACGACTTGAGATTGTAACCACCGACATTGTTACTGTTATCGTTCGAATATCACCCATCCCACTGTATATATCAGAAACTAGGTAAATACGATTTACAGAAAACTACAAGTATATACACAGCATGTCAGCCTTGCACTGTTTTTTATTTTATTTCACACAGCATTTCAATTGTCTTGGTCTAATGCAATTCAAAGCACTGTATTAACTACATTTGTAGACAATGTTTTGTAAGAGCTAACGATATGGCATTAAATCTTTATTGAAATATATTTGCGTTCTCACATTGCTTACATATTTGACGTCCATTGAAATGGGGTACTTATTAATAAGTGATTAAAATATTCTAAATGTGATGCAGATACAAATGCACGGGCCGGATTGAAGTATAATTTCCATTGCAAATCTGGAATGGTTTTCTAATCATTACCAAAGGCGGGATTTTGTCCATTTTTGTAGAGATCGTATACAACTTGGGTGGATGTGTCATTTTGGTTACACACAGGTCTTGATAAATTAACAAATTAGCAGGCGTTACTTTCGGAGGGTGGTGAGAAGTTTCCACTTTCAAACGGTAACATCAACTTCAGAAATCTAGTAGTTATTTTCATCTACTTTGTACGTTGTACGTTGTACTTTTCATATACTATGCATTTAGTATGAGGTTAGAAGCATCGTAGCAAGAAGCAACTGCTACACTAAGCATCTGGACCATCGTGGCCCAGGTTCTCAAAGCCTTTGCGATCGTCAGGAGCTTTCGTCTTCTTCCTCTCTTGCAGCGGCAGATCTCCCATCTTGTACTTGCTCCTGTACTTGTTCACTTTGACGCGCCACACAGCGACTCCGATCAGAGCTGCAGCGGCGACGACTGCCCCCACAGACAGCAGCGCGATGTAAGCGGGCTGTTCGTACCAGCTGGACCCTTGTTGGTCTGTGACTGTGGGAGAATAAAAGAAACGTTTTCAACGATAAAGTAATATTAAGATAACGCAAAACAGAGTAGATATGGTTATTTATACTCTACATTTAGATTCAACGCACCAGTAATTGTCCGAAATGAAATTCATATCAATGTTACTTGATATCCCAATATAATACCACCAATACCTCCAGTCTGGGCAGTGCAGTTCTTTCCGTCTCCCGTCATGCCTTGCGGGCAGTCCCCACACTCATGTCCACCTGGTACATCTGTACACGTCACTTCCGGGTAGCACGGCTGGGAGGAACAGCCTGGGGAAGGGCAGAATCACGGGAGTCAAACTTATGGTATGCACTAGATCCTAAATCTAGGCTACGACAACCAGATTTTATGGAGTTGTTCGCATTAAACCACTTTTAAAAGATTATTATGTAATACCCTGCATCAATTCAGCCGTATAAAGGCTGCGACTGCATGGTTACTGTTTGGACGATAAAAACCATTTATTATTATTTATTATTAATAAATAAAGAAATAAGAACCTTTTATGTTCATTATACATTTGTATCTGCTGTTAACCATTTTGGATGAACGAATCATCTAGAGCACGTCACTACTCACCAATTACTTGGACACAGCTGACTCCATCACCAGTCATCCCGGCAGGACAGGGTCCGCAGCTGTACACGTCATCAACTACGTCACAGGTGACGTCACCATAGCAGGGGTTGGGCGAGCACGGGTCCAGGGGGACTGGGGAGAGAAAAATAAAATTTTATCAATTGCCATGCTGACCCGAACACTCGGCTGGTAGAAACCAATGTAAAGAACAATAAACAAGGCACTCGTTTGCTACCTTCAGTCATTAAAACTACTAGTATACAAATCTATTAAAGATGTTGTGATAAGTTGTCACTTGGATGCGTTTGCTTTTGTAAAGAAATCTAATCAATGTTTATTAAGTTGCTTGATACCTGCAACATGATATCATGTTAGAGCTTACTTTCTATGACCACACAGAGGGAGCTGTCCGAAGGCGACCCCTCGGGACAGATGGTACACTGGATGGCGCCGGGGATGTCTGCGCATGTCCCGTTGTCAGGGCAAGGGTTGGAGAAACATGGCGTCTCCTGGGCACACAGAGGACCTAAAGGAAGGGACAATATTGAATGTAAATTTTGCAGGGTAAAATACACGATGTTTATTATGCATCAATTGCACTTAATAATCACTTCTAAGAAATACTCTGGGGATCTTTGATGAGTGTTTGCCCTACCTGTGTAGTACTGCTCACAGTCGCACTGGAACCCGCCGACGGTGTTGTTACAGACTCCATGGACACACGGGCTGTCCGCACACTCGTCCACATCCACGTCACACATCTGACCCGTGAAGCCGGTACCGTTACAGCTGCAGTTGATGTTATCAGGACTGTCCAGCGCGAAGGAAGGACACATGCCGCCATTCTGACACGGACAGTCATGGACCAGGACAGTGATAGACCCCGTAGAACTGGCACCGCACTCATCCACGGCTACGACGTCGATGATGGTGTTTGAATGCCGGCGAGGTGTCCACTTCAGCCGGCCGTCACTAGACAGAGACATGTCAGGGTCGGGAGGGGCGCCGGGAAATGAGTAGCTCAGGTGAGGGCGGTTTTCCGGGTCTGCTGCCTTGACTGTGAAGTCCATCTGATGGTTGATGAATGCGATGATGTTGTCGGCTGGTTCAAAGACGGGCGGTGCATTGTCTGAGTGTGAAAAGAAGGGGATAAATCACTAAAATATGGCAAACACCAATATTGTATCAAAATTGATAATCATATTGTAATAAAAAAAGACAGTTCAGCACCGAGTACTAGATCTCATCCATCTCACTACCCCAAACGTAATCTGCTGGCTTCAACTCTCTTCATCCTTCGGCATAGTGTTACAACCTACAGACAGAATTGTCTACAAGAAAACATTACACCCATAACACAGTTACACATGTACAGGTCTTGTACATGTATTTTTTCTGGCTTCTTAAAAACGTAACGTCTGCTTGTTTAAGGAACGTTAGTATATATTTACGACAAGACTCAGCTGCCTACGTTGCCGTTCGCTCCATGCTGACACGCTGGTTGACGGGAGGCACTGTTTGCACCAATTGCCGATCTGTGTGTCTCCGCTGGCATAGCAAGTCCCCTCTATCTCACAGGAGTTGTTCTGTGAATAAACAAAGTAATTAGCGCTTAGTCACAGGAAGCACTTTGTCAAGAAGTGTATTTCTATATATAAATGTAGTATGATTGATCAGAGCTTGTTTAGAAGTAGCTGAGTAGCCTGCAAAACGTAGAAGCTTACCCTGAGAACACAGAATCCGGTGACGTTGCAGTCCTGACAGACGGCGTCATACGTGATGAGCAGGACCGGCGGGCTGAAGCGCACACCGTCGTTACTGATGGAGACGAGCGTCGCCTCGGCTGTTGTCCTGTGTCCGGCTGCTGTACTCCTCCTGACACGGGACCGCGGCAGAGGACACACCACACGGGCAAAGTTCTCAAACTCCGCCTCAACGGTAATGTTTCCGTCAAGAACGTGCACGCCGCTCTGGTCAACCTGGTTAATACGTTTGCGCAGCATAACATAACATGTCTAAAGCATCACTACATTACTAAACATTACTAACATTTTTCACTGATTAGTAACGAAATAACAGAACATCACATCACCACATTATAAACATACTATATGACACATAAGACTATAAGACATATCATATCATCTGCGGTGGCTCGTAGTCCGAGCATTCGTTCCCCATATATCACGTCAGATGATTATTTGTTTACCGGAAAACGGATTTGCAAAGGCACATCTACACATTGATTCACAAAGATATTTTTTAAAAGCATAAAGAAAAGTCAAATGCAATAAAAGCATCATATAGATAGCACTTGATATAGAAATCAATTTAAGGGGGTAACATACTGAACCCACGATCTATTGTTAAAATCCATTTCTCAACGTACCGTTGCAGACTGTAGGGAACACGTCAAGTTTTCCGACTCCAGGAAGTTCTTGCCAATGACAGGAGTCCGTTCGCACGGCCGGGTGTTGATGTCACACAGTCCTTCTTTCGGGATGAAGAATGCTTCCGGTGGTGTGTCTGATTCTATGGAGCAAGACGGACCTTCGAAGCCCTCCTCACACACACACTGTCCCTTCTCACAGATGCCTCGCTGGCTGCAGTTGCCCGGACATGACACTGTGTCGAAGAAAAAGGACGGGGCAGACAGAGTACCGTTGATGGTGTCGTTGTTGCTGTTTGCCCAGAAGGTCGTGTTTTTGTAGAGGATGTCAGAACAACTTTCTTCCATTGTGGTGACGGCGATCTCTGCCCAAGAGGTGTCTCCTGTCGCCTGGTGAGAGAGTGTCGAAAAGTCGATACTCAGGATGAGAGAAAAGCTGTTGTAAAACTTAATTTTCAAATTTCATGCAAGAAATATATTGGTACTGAAAAGTGTACAAATACCTGAATATCCGCCACACACCCTTCCACTGCTCCCTTCAGATCTGCGGAATCTACCATTACAGATGAACACACTGCCCCTGAAGGTGACTTCTGTAGAACGTCTTCACAGTACGCCCTGCCTGGCCTCGGCTTCAGACATTCCGTTTGGGGCTGGCCAAGACGGCGGAGGCTGGACAACGGCAAATAAAATCTGTCAGATGTACTCATGTTAACAAAACACAAAGGGAACGATGTAAGATAGTAGGAACACAAGATAGGATTGTCACTTTTGAATACTATTACATGCACTAATGTAGTATTACTGCTACTTGTGCAGTTCTTGATTTTATGAACATATTGATCATGCACAATATTCAGTGGAAGGACAACACAGACAAACTAGCTAGAATCAATGAAAATGCAACATGCATACGTCGATGAAGGTTAGACATTCAGGTAATACGATACGCCCAAAAGCAGTTACTAAAGCAACTGGATATGATTTTTTCCCCAAATCATATCCAGTTGCTTGAGTAATTGCTTTTTGGTGTACAACATGCATAGTTCATATATCAACTACAGTTCCTGGAACACATGCTTTCGTCAGGTGTAGATATTTTCGCACCAAGTCGGTTTTGGGCTACAGCCTGGGTGCCGCCACGTCACACAAACATCGAATATATAGACTTCTTGGTGAATTTCATTGAACCAGTTTTTTTCAAGGCGCCAGTCTGACTGCCAGATCATGTTGCAGGTTGATATATAATCCATTACCACATTCCATTGGCAGATGTGTCCCGAATTCTTGGACATGCTATCATCAAGCCCAGCAGAGAATATGTTTACCTCTTTTCTCATGTAAATTAGATTCTAATTTGCACAATATGCATCTCATTATGTTTATCTTCACCTTAGGCACGTACCTACCAAAAACAATGAAAAACCATCCACCCGTGCTCCAGTTATGTCCAATCAAACTCTGAAACAAAATGCCTACTGCAGTTCCAAAGAAGCTGCTAGGAGGCCAAAAATTACACCTAGCCCCAACAGCTCTCGACTATTTAAATCATCAGCCTAACACTTTCAGAAAATTTTACTTCAAACTTTGTAGCTCCGCTGCAATACTCAAAACAGCCGAAAGCAAAAAAGTAAACAGATGTTTAAGTTCTAAAATAAAATAAAGGCCAGGTCAAAAAAGTTATGAAAATCGTGCATTTTGCTAAAGATAGGATAGTTGAAGAACTCACTGCTGTAGACAGTGAATCGTCGTAGTCAAATGCGAACATGTCGTCGTCGAACACTTCGTCGTGGTAACTGGTGCTCCGTCGTGTACGGGCGTGTCTCTGTTCGGGAGCTGGGCGAACACCGGCCCGGCTTTTTTCTTCCTCCCATCGGCAGTTGTAGGCGAGGGTGGAGTCGCAGACGACTGTTTGGCCGAGTACGGGGTCGTCCTTACATGTGCAGTAGAGACGTTCATCCAGAAGAAGGGGCGCTGGATCAAGTACTCCTTCATTTAAGGTTCGGCCCCTTTGAAGCCTGTAAAATGAGTTACAGCTAGAGTTCGGCGATTTCATACCTCCATGAAATGTTAAGTGATTTTTAAAATCTTATTTATGTTGCACCCCCATCAAACTCCTTTCAAGCCGTACCCGGAAATTCAAGCCGTACCCGCTCAAAAATTCTGGCCGTACCCGAAAATTCGCGCCGTACCCGCGAAAATTCCAAGCCGTACCCGGTAATTCGTGCCGTACCCTGTACTTTTTCGCCGTACCCAATGGCGGATATCGCTCAGTCCCGGTGCGTAGTCACTCGGAAGACGGCAACGATACACAACCTCATATAGCCTATGCTCTGGTAAATATTCCTGGCCACCTAACTGCCGAGTGGCGTCGTCCTAATCGCGCCCAATCTTGAGAACACTTCGCTCGGCCGGCCGAGAAGCGGTCTGGAGAGAACGGGCCAGGAATATTTACCAGAGCATAGGCTATATGAGGTTGTGTATCGTTGCCGTACAGGGTATTTAGACACGACTTCCGAGTGACTACGCACCGGGGCTGAGCGATATCCGCCATTGGATACGGCGAAAAAGTACGGGGTACGGCACGAATTACCGGGTACGCCTTGAAATTTTCGCGGGTACGGCGCGAATTTTCGGGTACGGCTTGAAAGGAGTTTGATTGGGGTGATGTTGATGCCACCTGTAAATGGCTTACAATCCTACTCATTAGCAAAATATTTATGCAAAATAATTACATGGCCCCTATTCAGTAATATGCAACACACTGGTGAAATCCTTATCATTTGGCTAGGACAAGGTATGATATTGTTTGTTATATGCAAGCTAGAGGCCAATTTTCAGGTTTTATACACAACAAGAGTTCCACGAACTCATACCTGCGCCAAATCATGTTAATTGTTTAAATTGACTAATTATACATTATGCGTCAAGTATGCAAACTATAAGAGCCTCATTTGCATGGATTATATCATATTCTCCACCCAATAACAGTGTCATATTGATAAACATGAGTTCCACGATCTCATACCTTCGCCAAATGATGTTAACCCTTGCGGTTGACGAATTATACAATTTTAATCATTGATTTTGCAAATAATATCCTCATTTGCATGGATTATATCAGTTGATCATATTCTCCACCCAATGACAGTCTTATCTTAGCAAAAAGGCTATTATAGCACTTCCTCATGAATTATGCAAATGAGGTCATGATTTGAATAAATTATGTTTAATGATGTTCGCCTTCACTTAAATTCCAAATGTGGTATGAAATTCCCAGAAGTTACAACTATGAAATTATTAAAAAATGTCCATTAATTATGCAGATTAGGTCTTCATTTACATAATCTATATCCTCAGATTTTTTTTTTTCGTTCTCAATTACATGTCACAAATGTTTCATAGTCCTATTATCGAACAAAGCAGATTAATAGAATTTCCTCATTAATTATGCAAATTAGCTCTTGATTTGCATAATTGTCACCTGATTATGTCAAGCATCACTTCAACTACAGTACCTACAAACAAAAAAATCACGACAATCCGTCTACCGGTTCTTGAGTAATCATCCTTCGAAAAGTTTTCAACAAATGCTCCTGCAGTCCCAGAACAAGCCGCTAGGGGGCCCAAACTCATGTCACTTACCCCAAGAGCTATCTACCAACCAAAATTCGTGACCCTAGCTTCTCCAGATTCTCGAGATATAAAAACCGGAAGTTCTGCTGCAGTACCAACAAAAGCCGCCAGGGGCCCAACATCTAATCATTTCTAGGTCTCATCAATACCAATACCACCTACCAAGTTTCATGACAATGCATACTAAGCCTCTTGAGTTATGCTGTTCACGGACAGACAAACAAGCAGACAGACAGACAAACGCTACTGAAAACATAACCTTCTTGGCGAAGGTAATAAGGCTATTCTACCATTTTCTCATACATCATGCAAATGAGGTCTTGATTTAACTAAATTTTGTTTAGTAATGTAACAGTTCAACTTCACTGAACTCCAAAATATGGCAAGTATTGAATTCACAGCAGTTACCACCATTACATTGTAGAAATTTTTCATTGAATATGCAAATTAGATCTTCATTTACATAATGAATATCTACCAATGTTCCTGACGATTTGCAAACAAACCGTCCTGCAGTTCCAGAACAAGTTGCTAGGGGGCTGACTAGGGAAGACTGTAGCACCAAGGGAAGCCACTAGGGGTCCAAAATCTTATGATATCATTCCCAGTTTTCGTCACACCCTACCATATCTTGTTGACCAACTGACAGATAGACAGACAGAATGACAAAAATATAACCTAAATATAACCTCCAAAACATTTCATGGAGGTAATTACTATTACAAAATAGAACGATGTGAATGCTGTTCATCTTTACTGTTGACAAATTTGCATAATTTTATAACCTTATGTAAACTGTATCTGCCACGACAAAATCTCAATCTGCTGACTTTTTTGTCTTTTGCGACCCCCTCTACGTTTCTTTGTCTACCCCTAGTTTGGACCTTTGTTTACTCGTGTTATACATGTACGTACCCTCCCACTGCCCATAGAAAGCGTGCGTTATTGTCATTGTTGGAATCTCCTTAGCCTCCTGTGCAGCCGGCCATCCTACATAGCCGCCCAGAGAAGGTTCCATTCCGCCCACGGGCGCCGAGGTTCACGGGCGGAATGGAACCTTCTCTCGGCAGCAATGTAGGATGACCCGCTATATCAAAATAATCCGTTTAAAACTCTCCCCACTGCCGCGGGGCCTGCACAGGAGGATAGAATCTCCTGTCGATGCGACAGACGAGTAGGCATACAGGTCACCATTTGCCGAGATGCGTCATTGTCATAGAGACGTAGAAAAGGCCACAAAATAATCATAACCCGACCGATGTATCTGGATGGAGGTCACCATTGCCAGACATGCACATCTCAGGTTAGTTTATCTGTCGACTGGTAACTTACCTCCAGCTGTACACGAATGCCGTGTCTGTAATAACAGCGTTATCACGTATGGTGTCTGTTGTTGTCAGGTCTGAGCGGAGCCCGTCGTTCTCCTTGTTACCGTCGAATGTTCCACAGAGTCCAACAGTCTTCCCAAAGTCGTCAGTAGAAGGGTAGATGTAGATGTTCATATATTGGTTCTGACTGCCGGTCATGGTGACCTTCATCCAAGAACCAGTTGGAAAGTAAGCCTGCATGAAAACATGCAAAAATCGGGGGTTCGGGAACAATTGTTACAAACGGGGTATGGAAAAGGTTGATATGGAACAGTCAATTTTGGAATGGGGAGGAAAAATGAGTGAAATATGCTGTATTTGCTCCCGAGCGAATATTGGCCTTTCTAGTTTCTTATTCAAAAGCAACCCCCATTCCGTTTATGCATGTATGAAAGGCCCTGTTCATATGAAGTCACTGAAGGCACGCTTTACATGTGGTTTCCCCCGAAGCCGGTTTCAAGTGGCCCCATCTGAACGCCTCGATCCCAAACCACTTCTAGAGGTGGTTTCGAATCGGTTTTCCCGCATCGCGATTTGCGTCTGAACGCAATGTGATTTCAATGTTTCTTTACCTGGTCATGGATTACGGGGTGATATTTCTTTATTACCTTCGCCAAGAAGGTTATGTTTCCAGAGACGTTCGTGTGTGTGCCTCTGTGTCTGTGTGTCTGTAAACACGACAACTCGAGAAGGCTTCAATGGATTGTCTTCATACTTGGTAGGTGGGTAGGTCTTGATGAGACCTCAACATTATTAAATTTTGGGCCCCCTGGCGCTTGTTGTGGTACTGCAGCGGAACTTCCGGTTTTGATATCTCATGATATAGACGTGGGGTCACAAAATTTGCATGGTAGGTAGTTCTTGTGCTGGGGAAGAAGTGACGTAGGGCTGGGCTTGCTGATCAGGAACTGCAGGGGTGGTTCTTTAAAAATAGTCAAAACTCAAGAGCCAGTTGACGGATCGTCGTGATTTTTGGTATGTAGGTAGCTTAAGTGACGCTTGACATTAATTATGCAAATCTGGATGTAATTTGCATAATTTGTAAGGAAATTCTATAAATTAGCTGCATTTCATTATAGGACTATACAAGCTTGTGACATAAGTAATTGAGAACAAGAGAAACACAGGCAGATATTGATTATGTAAATTAACACTTAATTTGCATAATTAATGAGAAAATGTTATAATTCTATAATGGTAACTGCCTGGAAGTTGAAAGTTAGGTGAAGGTTCATTATTAAACATAACTTATTCAAATAAGGATCTCATCATTTGCATAATCTATGAGGAAATCATAGAATGGCTTTCTTTGTTAAGATAAGGCTGTCTTTTGGTAGAGAATATGATCAACTGCAATGAGGATCCTATTTGCATAATCAGGAGGAATAATCTTTACTTTATCAGTCATAAAGATTAACATCATTTGACGAAGGTATGAGATCGTGGAACTCTAGTTATATGTAATACCCAATTTTACCTGGTAGCAACTTAAAGAGCAGTGATGGTCAAATAATGTGCCCATTCTAGGACGAGCTTCAGCGCCTCTGGCGGGACACGTCGACATTCGGCCGAGATACGCTGGGAGGGGGCATCAGCAAGCAGGTCGTTGACATTAATAACGCACTACCTTGCGTGTTTTCATAAAACAACAATGAATGCAGTTTCGGAGAATCGTGATCGGGCACGGTTTGAAAGAAATGTATGGCACGTGGACCAGATGTGAGGAATGCGAGTTACCCGAATCGCGGTTCGCGTGGTTTCATATGAACAAGGCCAAAGAAACAACGGAACTAAATACAAGAAAAAATACACCAAAGAATTTTACATCAACTCTTATAATTACACGTAAATGATGTGGTCAAAAGTGATATCCAAATGGGAGACCCACCAAATATTCTCCTCCGCCATTTTTAATGTAGAAACGCGTGTCCTGGCCAACAGGCCCGTGGTGGACCACTTCAGTAGCTAACGGTATGTCGACGTGGTTGTAATTGCCTAAGACCCAGTTGAACCTCGGTCTGCTTCCACTACACCTAGTAAGGATAAACACTTCGTTTCCGGCTCGGATGGCCACACCACAGTTGCAGGTCACGCGTCCAGCATTGCAGATCTGCATCCGTGTTTGCACCTGTAAATCATCGTGATTAAATTAACCTTCACTAAAAAGGTCATGTTTTCGTTGGCGTTCGTGGGTATGTGTGTTAGCTTGTAAACATGACAACTCGAGAAGGCTAAAATGTATTGTGTTAATATTCAGCTTATGGGGTTCGTGAGACCTCGAAATCCTTAGATTTTGCCCCCCCCCTCCCTCATAACTTAATGATATCATAACTTATTCAAATCGCGGCGTCATTTACATAATTTGCATTTACATTCCAGAAAATTCTAGAATAGCCCTCCTTCATAAGACTGTCATTAGGTTGAAAATATGATCAACTAATATTATTCCTTAAAATGAGGACCTTGTTTTTATAATCAATCATCTTATGTATAAGATATAATCATCTTTTGTATAAGACAAAAGAATGTATCTGGTACCTTGTACATCAAAAGACTGAATTATTGGATAATTTGACAAGACGAAGGATATGCCAACTTGATATAGAAGTGATGAATAATGTCCTTCCTAAACCACTAGTTTAATAGTGTTAATTAGAACTCAAACCTACCTCTATAGGAAGTTCTCGGTGCCTGTAAAGCACGAACGTACCCTCCTGGTACACGTGGAACCTCCTGGAAAAGGATTAATTGCGTGACGAACAATTTCAGCAACATGTAATGGAACACATGTGTAATGAAAAAGACAGTTTGGCTAATATTGTTCTTCGTACATGTCGGGATGTTTTCCTTTAACATATGAATTTTTACTTACTTTCCGTCGAATGTTGTATAGTGCGGATCGCCGGTTGATGAGCACACGGTTTCTTGTCTGTCTTTATCTCTGGTAAGAACCTATTGAAAAAATAACAGCCATTTTACATTTTGTAGAATATGATGTAAATGACCTGTAACAAACAGAAGTGTCAGTTAAATGCTATCATCAAATCTGCATCAGAAACCCAAATGTACTATCACGAATTTACTATCACGTGAACTAAACCTTGAATTGTAAACATGAAACGTTCCACACAGACTAGATCTGACAAAAAGATAACATCAATGATGGTCAGCATATGGCACAACCTGTTTTTCAAAAGGAGTACGAGTCATACTGTCAGCATGGTGTCCAAAGATGTACTGATACCTACGCTATTAGTGATACAGTTAAGAAGAAATAGATAAGTACAACTCACGTCAACATCCTCTACTTGGTAGCCATTCCACAGTAGCGCTAGTATAGATGACATAGGACGAAACCCGACCTTCATGTATCTCAGTCCGTTATTTGTACCGTCAATCTGGAGGTCGCGAGTTGCCTTCACCGGGAACGTAAGAATGCCGTTCCACTCGTCCTTCGTGAAGTGTTTTACGCAGTTTTGGGGTGACAATGCATCAGACACTGAATTTCCCTGGCACTGGCGGTCGGCTGCGTCGTCGCCATCTCTGAACTCGACTTGCACTGATATTTCGCAGGGCCAGTCTGATTCAGGGACACCGCAGAGTAGAGGCAGGGTAGGCTGGAGCTCGATGTACTTTTCGTCGCCGTTTTCCTCAACCTCAACGATTTCAGTCAGTATCTGTATGGGAGACATTTATGGTATGATAAAGACGTATGTGTATATGTAAGGTAGGCAATAAAGTATATTAAAGGTATCGGGATGTCATGTAGATTTTGTCTTAACAAAATTGTAATATCTCAAACCTTGATTCCGGCAAAGAATTCATTGCTGACGTCTGTGGCCCCCGGGGCTCCTCCACTTTGAAATCTTCCTCTAACCTGGCAAGTGATCTATACAATTAAATGCAAAGTAAAGGCAAGTAAGAGCATGAAAATGCGCGATCCCTCTGATTGCCCCCAGAGTCGTATCATTTCGGGTATTAATTATATTGAATTTCTGAATGCCTGTGAACACCGTTTCGACGTCATTACGGATGACCGCGTGACTCATAACCGATCAGAACTCGTGCGTATGTTTTGACGCAAAAATTCAAATCCCAAGCGTTTATCTATTAACTAGTGTCAGACTCTTTGGCAGGGAAACCATCAGTAAATGCGTACCGTTTTCCCCATTCCCTTAAACAGGTCTGTCTCGCGCAGAATAGCCCGTTGCTCCCCGTTTGTCAAAGTGGTCTGATGGAAAATCTCATTGTCGGCAGCCCAGTTGACTTCCATGGTCAGGTTGTCCCAAGGTGGACGGTCAAAGTTGCACAACATTATAACTTCAGGAGGCTCACCAATAGTGCTGTTGGCCAGTCGTGGGTTGGTTGTTATGTCGGGAAAGTCGGCTGTGGTTGAATATGGGTTCATTTAACGATTGATTTATAGAAAGTTTGTTCAAGCAAAGAAATGTGATTCGTCACGTGAATACATGTACATGTACTCCAATTTGTACATAAACTGGTGTACAGATGCATAGGCTAATTAGCCTCCTTTGCAGGCATTCCGGGTGCGGTCGGCGTTTAAAGGAGGGCAATTGCACGATTTTCTGATCACACATACTAGTAGATCGCGCGCGCTTATAACTCTGACCGCCTTCCCTAGTAAGGATACGCCGACAACACTGAGAAAAAATCACTTGTACGTGGACTTCGGCACGTCGGCAGAACGTACTGCGTCTGCGCGAAGTCCTGATTTTTTACGGATTTCGTTGGATTTTTGGTCAACGTTGCATCAGTTGCAGAGGGTATCTTTTCCCACATAACATTTGGAAACTACAGACGGGATGTTAACCTTATTTGCGCGAATGCGACCTTATACGAGACGTTCTACCGAAGTGCTATGCACAATACATTACGGGTTTCGCGCATGTGCAGTACGTTCTGCCGACGCGCTGACTAGTATATGGAAGATATCAGTCTATATGTATTTTATTTGTCAAGACAGTAACCCCTTGTCGTAATAGTTTATATAAGTGTTAACTACGAATGACGTAAAGCATCTAAACACAGAGCACGAGAGTAACGACTACTTACCGTGCACTTTTTTTAGAATGGCAACACGTTAAATTTGAGTAAAACGCCGTACCTGTACATCCAGGAGTGAAACCGTAGTTTTCTGAACTCTGACCGGCTGGACAAGGAACTTCGGTCCCTGTGTGATCCGAATGTATCTTGTTAAAACAGTACGAATATCCCCATATGCCGGCCATCCCTTCCCTTATTACATCTTGCATGATGATTATGTTCATAAAATAACGTTAAATCTGATCTTCAATTCTTTTGTATGCATCGCGTTTCCTTCTTCAACTCATCGATAGTAAAAACAGGCACTCATCGATAGTAGAAAACTACAATCTGTATGATGTGCACACTCCAGCGTAACATTACTGATACCTGCACAGTACGCCTCCGGACAGCCTGGTGTCGGGGGCAGCAGGTAGACGTAGTAGGTCTCCCCATCTCGGCGGCAGCTCTTCACTTTGATGTCCCAGCAGTTATCTTCACATCCCCAGACTCCAAGCCGGCAAGCCTGCCTTACTACTTCTTCTTCAGTTGGAGTAGGAAGGGAACCTGGTAAACGATGAACATTTGTAAAAAAAATTACATGGCAGATATATGTTATTTCTTACCCACACAAGTTATCTTGAGGTTCCTACCTTTCATCCAAACAGGTCCGAGAGTCGAACAGCTTCTTGGGCCGAGTAGAGAGCAGTCCGTAGGGATCTCTCCACCCGCTGGGCTGACAAACCGGTACCACTGGGTCCTCAGGCCGCTGTCACACCGGACGTTTCCACCTGTTGCCAAGGAACCAGTGCTTCTGCTAGGTTCGTCCAACGCTTCGTACTCGTCACATGGGTCCCCGTTCACCACAGCTGCAGAAATATGATGTTGAAATATCTCAATAGCCGAGTTTGCGTCCCATAAACCTTCGTGGTACACTGTTTAGGGGTAGAAACTCAAGGGGAAGAAGTGTCATTCAGTATGGACCTGGTACAAACAGGTTTGCTTCCTGGATATAATCAGCATGACTGATACCCTAAAAGCTTTTACGGGGATCAAAAAAATCATTTTCCTTCAACACAAACCGCCCAAAAACGTTTCAATGTTTCAACTTTACTGCTCTCTTTACTGCCCAAAAATATGACAAAAAGGGCTATTATTATATAAAACCGTTCTTGGCAACACTGAGTAAATTGGGACCCAAATTTTCGGCCGACTCCGTCAGCCTTGTTCATGGAATTGACCCTTCTACTGCAGCTTCCGGGACGTGACGTCGGAAACACGTGATTGCAGCAGAGGGTCGTACGTGTCAGATAACCTGTGTCGCCCCCCGTCTCTGCTCAGTGTTGGATGGTTGGCCCAAATTAATGTACATTGTCTCCTTTACTCCTCTCGCAAAGAAATCCGGTTCTGATTCCCAATGTTTTGATTTACTCAATGTTGGCAAGAACGTTTAGCCCTTTTTGTCATAATGAAGTATACCAACACAGATGAACTTTCATGCTAATGCTCTGAAATATCTTTGGCAGCTACGGACAGGCGATATAATTGTTAAAACACTACAAATACGTTTTGTTTGCCTCTGGGTATTTCTACTCTGGAACTGCAGGTCTTTATCGTTCTCATCAAAATCTCGCTTTACTTAATTTTTTAACATCAGACGCCTTTGGTTACTAAACATGTAAAAGAAATGGGATACAAAAGTTGCCAGAGGAGTGTAACTGTCAGGTAACTCCTCTGGCAGATTGTTTACCTATTTGCCCAATGTATACTATTACTCCACAACGAAAAAGTCTAGTTAAACCTATTACCTTAAGCCCTCTTTCTTAAAAACCATTAACCCACATTCATTTCCTGGGCCGTAAAATTCCAAACATTCAAATCAACGGAACTGGACTGAAAAAAAACAAACACATAAGTGTGTTACACCGAAGGGCAGTTATACCGGCTATACAGATACACAGATACAGATACACACAAAGACCAAATAAACATGTACTTAACGTTATCCACAGTCACCGGGGTCACAAATCACACTTTTCTTGTCACTAACTAACCAAGATTTACTTACGGCCCAGGCGCCAGTCAAGTGGTAATATGTCTCGGCTTTATCAAGTAGAAAGATTAGAAATCCCTAGCAACTTCTGTTACCGTAACGCAATTTATTGCTGCTTAGATTATAAGTCTGTTAGCATCAAATAATAATGGCAGGGGTGAAAAATCGACGTGGCTCAAATTTTGTACAGCGATACTACTTAACTCACAACCCCTCAAAATAGATTTTTTTCTGCTTAACACCGAGTGTTGCCATGGTAACGGACCAACACGTTTACGGCATCATTTTCCCCCGATTTGGGCATGTCAAAAACATTGAAATAGTTTAGGACCATCACGAACAAACGTTTGAATACTATAGCAAACCACGCAAACGCTGGAATAAAAAGAAAAACATTTCCACGTTTCCAAGATTGTCACGTGGTTGTCCCCAGAAGTAGGTAATTTTGATGCAATATATAATTTTCAATCATATTTAAGATGCAATATATGTAAAGGTAGAGCAGTACTCTGGTTGATGTTTTGGTCACAGGTAACCTTATGTACTGTTTATCAACTAAATGCTTGTAAAGGTTAGGGTGTTTTGTGGCCGTGGACGTGGACAGATTATTCACATGTACACAAATGAACATTTGTGCTCTGTTCTGCACAAACCAATGTAAAATGTGTTTGTAATACCTTTTCAGCAAATGTATCACTATGGACTGTCAAAATAAATGCATGTAGAGTCTGGGATCTTCTTTAGTTGTTGTTTGCTTGCCTCTAGCTCTGAAAGTTGGACATATTTTTTGACATGTATGAAAATGTTGTCGTATTGTACTGTTGATGAATATTCAAAAGGGGGCGATTTTTGTACAAATGTTTTGCCCCTTACCATGACGACGACGGTGATGAGTGAAAGGAAAGCTATTTTGAGAGGTTGTGGGTCAAGTACTATCACTGTGCAAAATATGAGCCAAATTGATTTTTCACCAATGCAATTGGTTGATTCTTGCAGACATTTGACCTTCAGCCATTAACCCACATTCCTGTGCAGTACTTTTTCAAACATTCAAATCAATTGATCTGAACTGAATACGACATACATACAAAGACCAAGTAAACATGTACTTAACACTATCCATTGCCGACGAGGTCACAAACCAATCACATTTTTTGTCACTCAATAACCCAGGCACCAGTCAAGTGGCTATATGTCTCGAAAAAATTTAAAATGTTTAGCAACCTCTGTCATCTTAACCCAATTCAATGCAACTTAAATTAAAAGTGTGGTATTCCCATTGTTAACAACTGTATGATAGCATTTTCGGCGGAGTCTTCGTGTAAGCCATCACAAATAGCCCTTTGCCGTGCATTCTCGCAAGGCCGCGTCGTTATTGTCGAAATTGCCGACAAGCCATCACAAATTGCCGGCGAGCGCAGCCATGCGCACGGGGCCGTATCACAGACTGTACCGTTTATTCCCGCAAGGCCGCTTCGGTACGAGCGCTGGGGGTGTCGGGTTCTTCAACGTGCATTCCCTGTATACATTTAGTAAAGCATACGTACAAAAATTTTGGGGTGCACCCACACAAAAAAATTGGGGGCACAGCTCCAATTTTGGGTGCACTAAGGTGCACATGCACCCAGTATTTCCAGCCCTGCCGTGCATTCCCGCATGGCCGCGTCAGTAGAAACGCGGGACGTGTCGGGTTGTTCATTTGCCCACTCTACCTTCATGCCAAATTTCAGGTCATTTGGCTGAAAAAAAATGGCAGAGTTGAATCCATTTAAAGAAATGGCAAGAGGAGGAGGAGAAACATGAGAGAAATCAATATGTTTCACCGCACCACGAATGTGAAGCCATAAATAGAATTACATGTATGTGAGAAGTGGTCGTTTTGCGCATGTTTACTTTCCGGTCTCTCTCCTCAAAACCAGATACAAACAAGTCAATCTTGTTGTAATTTTCCTTCTATGATTTTACGTCCCTTTTTTTACTGTGTGTTTTATCTGTTGGCTGGCAATTTTCCAAGGTACATTATGATATGGCTCGTCTGTTCGTTCATTAGTGAACGGGTGATAAGTGTAGCAACTCTGATATACAGGTGTCACAGTTATCGCGCCCAGGGGTCATTATTGTTTGCAGGATTTCATTAACGCCTTCAAGTGTTTTCGTCGCCTCTATCAATAGATAAAATTGCTTTGATACCTCTTGTTTGTTACGTCGGCAATTTGACAACAGACTGAGCGAATTCTTTAAATCACTCATACAGCGAAGAAAATCGAAGATACAGCAAATTTTGTTCGTGTGTAGGTGGCAATTGTGGCGAGTTTCCTCCGTTATTTCTGAAATCATAATGAGTATTCGTAGTTGTTCGCAGGTCTTTCTGTGTACGTTTATAGCCATTTAAATGGTGTTATCTATCTTTACAGGCCTACTCTTTGCACTGAGGCGGCAGCCGATGCGCCATAATTGAGCCACATTAGTACTTCAAACAATTGATAAAAAAGTGTATTTTGCAAGGTTTGTTTGTTTTGTTTTCTTTCAAATTATAAGAGGTTGATCTAGTCATGGGTCAAACAATTTTGACCACTCAACGGCCTCTATACTGTATACTATAAGGCCGTAGTATACAGGACGTTGATACCCAAATCCCATTAAGGCTGTGTGTTCTGTCGTGGAAAATGCGAAATATTGGTTTCTAAATTTATGGGGAAAATAATGAGGCAAAACACATAGACAAGACTACTATTTAGAGAACTTAACACATTGAAACATTTTCGACACGACAAAGCAGAACTCACGATTCTCGCAGCAAGTACTAGTACCCTGGAACTCTAGTGGGCATGAACACGAGGAAGCCAGGGCCGTCCCTCCGTTGTGACAGAACCGGTTACAGGGACGAGTTACATAGCAAATGTTGTACATAGTGATCCAGAAAGGTCCCCCGAGAATCGTAGCTGTGTGCGACTGCGTTCCGGAGTTTCCACAGGGGGCACTACAGGCGCTCCAACTGTTCCAAACGCAGTAGCGTGGATAACTAGCACACAATTGCGGCCATGTCAATGGACATTCGGGGATACTGGTGGATCCTGGCTGTGACAAAATGTTTTGGTCCTCTATTAGTATCAGAGTCACCATGACTCTCAAAAGGGTTTGCATGTCCACCGTTATTTCTTTCCCACCCAACGGGTTACGGGTGCTTTGAAAGGCGTGAGCGCTCAGCAATACTATGCCGCCTAAAAATGACAAACACAGCTAGCTTGTCAGAGGGTCTGCATGGAGCATACTGGTTCACATTTGGCGTCGCATTTTATCAGTACATTGTATTATGCTGAGTATGCAAAATTCCTGCGACGGATTCTTTGCAAACGATTGTCTTTTACTTTTGGTGTTTTTAGACTTGTCGTTACATTAAGTAGAGGCCCATTTTCTCATGGGAAGTACATCGAATTACGTGTGAGGGTAACGCACTTTCTGAGCTGTAGTAACTGTAGTAAACGTAGTTGGATACAATGAATGCGGAAATAAACTGTCAGCACCGTTTGATGTCTTGTAGTAACGGGGCCGTGTTACAGACTGTGCCGTGCATTCCCGCAAGGCCGCATCGGTAGGAGCGTTTCAAGTATTAAGTGTAGTAAAAATGCGGACTGGACGACAAAAGGGTAACGCACTTTCTGAGCTGTAGTAACTGTAGTAAACGTAGTTGGATACAATGAATGCGGAAATAAACTGTCAGCACCGTTTTATGTCTTGTAGTAACGGGGCCGTGTTACAGACTGTGCCGTGCATTCCCGCAAGGCCGCATCGGTAGGAGCGTTTCAAGTAAGTGTAATAAGGTATACGGACTGGACGACAAAAGGGTAACGCACTTTCTGAGCTGTAGTAACTGTAGTAAACGTAGTTGGATACAATGAATGCGGAAATAAACTGTCAGCACCGTTTGATGTCTTGTAGTAACGGGGCCGTGTTACAGACTGTGCCGTTCATTCTCGCAAGGCCGCATCGGTAGGAGCGCTGGGGGTGCCGGGTCCGTCACCGTGCAGGGCTCCAAATTCAGTTTTGGGAATAGGTGCACTTAACCTAGAAAATAGGTGCACAAAAAAAATTTGGGGTGCATCATGCACAAGAAAACCTATTTACAGATCTTACTGCTCCTCTTCTGAGCTTAAATATGAAATAGGAAATCTTACAACAAAGATTTTATTATTTTTTCTGGCAGATTCCAAGAATATCCTGTATACTACAATTATACATTTAGTAAAAAAGACGTACAAAAATTTTTGGGGGCACCCACAGAAAACATTGGGTGCACAGCTCCAATTTTGGGTGCACTAAGGTGCACATGCACCCAGTATTTCCAGCCCTGCCGTGCATTCCCGCATGGCCGCGTCAGTAGAAACGCGGGACGTGTCGGGTTGTTCATTTGCCCACTCTACCTTCATGCCAAATTTCAGGTCATTTGGCTGAAAAAATGGCAGAGTTGAATCCATTTAAAGAAATGGCAGGAGGAGGGGGAGAAACATGAGAGAAAACAATATGTTTCACCGCACCACGAATATGAAGCCATAAATAGAATTACATGTATGTGCGAAGTGGTCGTTTTGCGCATGTTTACTTTCCGGTCTCTCTCCTCAAAACCAGATATAAACAAGTCAATCTTGTTGTATTTTTCCTTCTATGATTTTACGTCCCTTTTTTTACTGTGTGTTTTATCTGTTGGCTGGCAATTTTCCAAGGTACATTATGATATGGCTCGTCAGTTCGTTCATTAGTGAACGGGTGATAAGTGCAGCCACGAGAAAAGCGCCAAAACACCAAACATCCTCCGCCGCTTGTTGTGAGTATCAAGTATTATTTGCAATTGATGTTTGTTCTTCTTTGTGATTCAGGGATGATAAAAGGTGTTTTTGTAGTTTATTAAAATGTACTGTTATGCATCGAAGTAAGGAAAAGGGCTAAACATACATGATTCGACAATTTTCCAGGGGACATTTGATAGCAAAAGGACATAATCGTCGAAATTAAATATTACTCAATAACTAAACTTACAGCGTCCTCGTGATCACGTGAAAGCAACAGTCAAAGGCCGCAGTGCCTTTAGTGTATGCATTTTTAAAACTATGTAAAAATAAGGAAGCAACCCATAATGGCTACTAAACATCCTATTCAGTCACAGCAACAATACACGCTTACATCGTCTTCAATGGGATTGAAAGTGGGACAGTATGGAATCTTTTTTTGTTGTTGTTGCAAAAACACTATTACTATATACAAGTTGCTGCCAAGTACATGTTTTAACAAGACTATTATTTGCCTACTTATACGATAATTAAGGATGAACAAGAACTGCATAATATAAACAAATTCTTCCATTTTCATAGTGCCCCGCAAGTTGTCACGGACATTGACGGAATAAATGAAGAAGACCTTTATATTACATTTGTGTTCTACAGAACTAAGTACAGGTCGCATGGGTACAGAACATGAACATAAACATATATACATTACATACATATGAACATATAGGAGTGTAAATAAATGTCTAATTTCTAATCTTGTCGGCTTCATCTCGCTTAGTAGTGATTGTATGGATATATGCGGCTGTGAGATTACTTAGAGAAGGTTTATCAAAAGTTAAAAGGAATACAAATTTCTCTTTTAACTGAAATAAAAAAGGAATACTTTCCTACCTGACGACAGTAGCAGTATGACAAGTGTCGGGATCATTCTCGACCTCTGGGCTCGGCCGATGAGCGTTTTCACAAATGATCTCACAAACTCACTTCTCTTCTCGCGCGGACCAGAATATACAGATGAAGCTTAATTCAAACACGCTCTCGTCGGTGATTGAACAACATATAGCTCGACGCCGGCGTACAATACCAGTCGGTACGTTTGTACGGGGCGCAATTCAAATGTTTTCCGGCCTGCTTCTCAACTCTGATATACAGGTGTCACAGTTACCGCGCCTAGGGGTCATTATTGTTTGCAGGACTTCATTAACGCCATCAAGTGTTTTCGTCGCCTCTATCAATAGATAAAATTGCTTTGATACCTCTTGTTTGTTACGTCGGCAATTTCTAAGTCTTTAGACAACAGGCTGAGCGAATTCGTCAAATCATTGATACAGCGAATAAATCGAAGATGCAGCAAAGTATGTTCGTGTGTAGGTGGCAATTGTGGCGAGTTTCCTCCGTTATTTCTGAAACTATAATGTGTATTCGTACCTGTTCGCAGGTCTTTCTGTGTACGTACATTGCCAATCAAGTGGTATTATCTATCTTTACAGGCCTACTCTTTGCACCGAGGCGTGATAATTGAGCCACGATGCGTGATAATTGAGCCACATTAGTACTTCAAACAATTGATAAAAAAAGTGTATTTTGCAAGTTTTGTTTGTTTTCTTTCAAATTATAAGAGGTTCACTACAGTCATGGGTCAAACAATTTTGACCACTCAACGGCCTCTATACTGTATACTATAAGGCGGGTGTATACAGGACGTTGATACCCAATTCCCATTTAGACACTATGTCCTGTTATATATACCAAAGTCGTGGAAAATGCGAAATATTGGTTTCTAAATTTATAAGGAAAATCATTAGGCAAAACACATAGACAAGACTACTATTTAGAGAACTTAATACATTGAAACATTTTCGACAGGATAAAGCAGAACTCACGGTTCTCGCAGCAAGTACCCTGGAACCCTAGTGGACATGAACACGAGGTAGCCAGGGGCGTCCCTCCGTTGTGACAGAACCGGTTACAGGGACGAGTTACATAGCAAATGTTGTACACAGCGATCCCGAAAGGTCCTCCGAGAATCGTAGCTGTGTGCGACTGCGTTCCGGAGTTTCCACAGGGGGCACTACAGGCGTCCCAACTGTTCCAAATACAGTAGAGTGGATAACTAGCACACGCCTGCAGCCATATCGATGGACATTCAGGGATACTAGTGGGTCCTGGCTGTGACAAAACGTCTTGGTTCCCTATCAGTACCAGAATCACCAGGACTCTCAACAGAAGGATTTGAGTCTTCTGCATGTCCTCCGTTATTTCTTTCCCACTCAAAGGGTTACGGATGCTTTGTAAGGCGCGAGCGCTCAGATCGACTTTGCCGCCTAAACATGACAAACACAGCTAGCAAGTCAGAGGGTCTGCATGGAGCATACCGGATCACATTTGGCGTCACATTTTATCAGTACATTGTACTATGCTGAGTATGCAAAATTCCTGTGACGGATTCTTTGCAAACGATTGTCTTTGACTTTTGGTGTTTTTAGACTTGTTGGGGCACTACGTGGGTCAAGGTCGTCAGAGGCCCATTTCCTCATGTGAATTACGTGTGAGATTGATATCAGACTAATTTATCACTGCGTTGTAGTCACATCTAGTATCAATTTGGACTGTTATCATAGAACGTCATAGTGAATTACAGTGAGCTCATTGGGTTTTCTTCGCCTTCTTTATTAATTTGGGCTGTTATCACATCCAAAAATCATTCCTCCTTTCAGAACTTCAATATTGAATACGACGCACTCAAGTGTTTTCGCCACCTTCGAATTCTTTAATAATATAATACCATATTTATGGCTTCACCACTCTTTGTATGGTAAAACATATTGTGTTCTCTGGTGTTTCTTCTTCTCCTCCTTCTCCTGCCATTTCTTTAAATGGATTCAACTCTGCCATTTTGCAGCCAAATGAGCTGAAATTACGCAAATACTCCCAAATGTTTTTTTTGCCATTTTCTAACAAAATCTGTACATTTGGGGTCCTGGAGACCTAGTATTACATCCCAATCATCTGAACTTTGGTGTGAGTATGCTCTACATATCTGCCAACAACAATTCATTATACTTTTTGGCATACTCTCCCTCAAACTTTTATCCTGACGGTGTAAGAGCGACGGCCCTGTGATTTGTTCCTGACGGGGTAGGTGTTAGCCCCGTCGCGCGGGGTGTTGAAAAAAAAACCCGGTCTGCTTGCATGTTCTATAAATGATATCTTAAGTTATGAACGCTGCAGAACAATAATTTTCGCATCACTCTACTCCTTACACCAAGAGCTACGCACTGATGTCAAACTTGAATGTAGAACATTAATATTTGCCCCAGATTCCAAATGGCCAGTGACTTTCCAAAATTATAATGACTAGTGTTTATTACCTCCATGAAAAATGGAGGTATTGTTTTTGGCGCGCGTGTGTGTGTGTCTGTGTGTATCTGTGTGTGTGTGAGTGTGTGTGTGTCTGTGTGTGTGTGTGTTTCCGCATATTTGTAGTCAGTCTAACTTCAGAACGCCTTTGTGGATTGTGATGATATTTGGTATGCTGATAGGTCTTAGGAAGCAAAAGGTCAAGGTCAAATACGGGCCTCCTGGGGCTGATCTTGATACTGAAGCAGAACTTCCGGTTTTTGTATCTTTTGCAAAACAAGGAAAACAGATGTGCAGGTTCTCCCTCTGGAATAGGCTACATGTACAGTTGACCACTGAGTTGACCAGATCTATTACAGCCTGATCTATTTCAGGCCAAAGGTGCTACTGTGTTAGCAGAAACGCTGTGTGTTTGAAAACAAAAACCTGTGTTATTTTGTTCTGTACTGTAGTGTACTGTGTAAAAATATTTACAAAAACTCACATATTTCATTGAGGTATGAGATCTCCGAATTCTTTTTGTAATAGTTTCTTTTTAGTTTTGTAAATTGCGAAACCTGCAACGACTCGTGACAGGCTTAGCAATCAGTACAAATCGGATTGTAGTGGTGTATATATTGTAGTCATTAAGTAAATATTGTGTAGTTGTTATTTTGTAGTGTTGTAAATATCGTACCTATTAAGTAATGACAGTGGAATTGTATATTGTATACTAGTATACCATGTTGTTAATTTCATGTAAACAACATAAATTCTCCAGGAAGAATAGTAAGTAACAAAACACAAACACAACCCGATGCAGCGGCGTTGGAACACGACAGGTAAACAATTTTTTGAACTTGGACTTACACGCACCTACAAAAGATAATTAAGATTCAGTCACAGTTTCTCGGCTTATCCTTTACACATGTTAACAACATATGCATAAAAATCCCACTGCAGTACCGATGAAAAACGCTAGGTGAAGCATTTTCGAACTTGACCTTTGTTTTCATAACTGCCTCTCACCTACCAAATACATGATGCATCATTAAGATCCATCCAGCTTTTACAGTCAACGCATTCAGTTTTTTTAAGACCCACACCACAGCCACTCCTCCGTGGCCAAACCGAAAACATTCCCCTCTGACGAAGGCAATTATGGCACAGTGATATATTAACTCACGTTCTTTCACATTCCAAGTTTGAGGTGATTCTGGTCTAGTACTGTCTGGCTCTCTCCATTGACTGGAGAAGTTTCATAGATGACATCATTGTCAGCAGTCCAGAACACCTCCACTGTCAGGTTGGACCAGGGTGGAGCATCGAAGTCACAGAACATAACAACTCTGCCGCCTTGGATGCCATTACTCAGCTGAGGGTTCATTTCAGTGGTTGGAAAATTTGCAGAGCAACTGGAACGTCGTCACATCAGGAGTGCCACAAGGGGGAGTGCTTTCTCCGTACCTGTTCCTTGTTTACATGTCGTCAAGAGAAACTGTGCACCAAACAACCAGCAACATCGGTTATGCAGACGACATCGGACTGTCCAGAACGTTCACATGTGACACTGTTGAAAGCGACACAACTATGCAAGAGGATCGAAGCCACGCAACTTGACACCTGGGCGAACAAGAACAATATGATTATGAACGGGGATAAGTCCTATGAGTTGAGACTGTGCTTTTCAAAAAATCCACCTGTTCCACCTCCCCTCACACTTGGAGGCAAAGAAGTCCAGGTTGTTGAATGTGCCACGTATCTGGGCTTCAAACTTCACCGCAGCCTCGGGTGGACAGCCAAATCTTACACATGGCAAAGAAAGGCTCAACCCGTCTTCACTTTCTCCGCATGCTCAAGAAGGGCGGGATGCCACCAGAGGACCTGGAAACTGTGTATACGACTCTGATACGACCTGTGTTAGAGTATGCAAATGTCGTGTACGTGGGCTGTAACACAAAACAGAACAACACTCTTGAGGCTGTACAGAGAAGGGCGGCGAGAATCATCTACGGCAACAGTACTCAAACAACCCCCTTCTCCACCCTCCAGGACAGACGGGAAACTGCAGCAAAAACTCTTTTCAAGCAAATACAGGATGTCAGCCACCCTTTGCATTCTTTGATGCCCTGCGACAGACACCAGAGCACACGGCGGTCCCTGAGAAATGGAAACCACTTCTCCGTACCGAAGTTCAGAACTGAAAGACTGAGGAAATCTTTTCTGTTTCAGGCAATAAGCCTCAGTAACCAAGATTTGTAAATAGTAGTCTGCCTCGGTTTTAATGGACCTGACCTACAGAATTTTAAATCTATTTAATTTTAATCGTCAATGTTGTGCTTTTTAATGTGTATCTCGTTTTCAAGCTATTTTAACATGTAATCACTTGTGCAATTCAGCCAAGCAATGAATATTGGCTGCCAATCAATGTGAATAAAACAGTTTCAGTTTTTGCTGTAAACGAAAAAAAAACGTGTATGTGGTCACAAATCATTAGTTCATGGTGTAACCAACGTCATTCAGGCAACACTATAATTCTATATACTGTTGGTATAATAATAAAGAATTGAGCATTGAATTGAATTGAATTGAGAACTGGAGAGAGAAGATGATACGATTTAGGCCGCCATAAACCTAGTGCCATCTTGGCTGGGGATTGGTAGAGAGCAAAACCGGTCTAGCCAATGACAGGGGCTTTACATGTGGCTTGTCTCGTGGCGGACTACAAAAGCCATGCGACGTACCTTCATACAAG